AGAACAAGCCTATATATCCAAGAAGCCCTGTTGAAAACATCACAGGAGATCAAAACAGGTATTGGTGCAAAAAAAAAGAAAAAATAACAGCACTAAACATGATAAATGTAAGAAATTCTTCAAAAGATTATGATAAACACCAAAGGTGGCTTTAAGGAAAGAGTGCTTTCAGAGACATGTACAATTCCTAAAGGTATTTCAGCATGCAAAATACATTAAAGATAATCAACATACATGCCATCTACTGCAGTGAGAAATGGGACTCGAGGGAATTGTACAGCACGGCAAAGCAGAGGCGAGCACTGAATTAAGCAATAAATATGAACACAGATGGGAGAAAACCTTTCTGTTGATCCGATGATAGAGAATAGTCAAGGATATTACAGAGAATGAGCATATGGTTGCAGGAAGCTATATCAGAGAGTGAATACTGTCTAACTGGGTCTCAGGCAACGCTCCAGGACCAGATAGGAAAACGTTCCTTGCAACTGTCAGCCCTTAGATAGACAAGATGCAGAGTCAGGGTGGATTGGGAAAAAGCTACATGGCTTTGGGGTCACTTTTGTCCTGGTATATAAAGCACTAGCTTTCCCACTGGCATGCCTATAATACATTCCTTGCACACATCAAATGTTCCTAAGGAGGCACTGCTTCTGGTAGTTATTTGAACACATCTTGAGTGAAGAATATTTTTTTTTTAGCAATGTCAACAACACTGCAAACACACTTATCTGACACATGCGTAGCTGTCTTTCTCCAGCTTTTGGGTCATCTGTCCTTGTGTGACCTGCCAAGGACTCCAACCTCATCTTCTCACCTCCAGTGACCTTGTGAAATTGTGACTGCCAGAGAAACCACAACTCATGGCATGTGAAACTATCTCTACTACTCTACTCAGATGAACTCTACTACTACTACTACTGCTACTACTACATCTCATGATCCCTCTTATGCCCTGCTTTATCTCCAGATCAGCATGAATACATCCCATCATTCTACCTGTTATCTCTCCCTTTCCCTAGCTCCCCTCCAGCTTTTGCCTCTTACGGGCAAGGAATGCATACAAAGTAAGGGTACATTCACCTCATCCTGCAATCCAGCAGAGAGACAGCTGACTTAGCAGTGCTTCCCAGTACAGCTAGGCTGCAGCAACATAAGCAGCAAGGTAAATTCAGCCTGGTTAGAGCTAGCTTGAGGCTTCAGTGCTGCTGGACCATTTCCTCCCTCACTTCTCACCCACAATTTAGTTTCTGCTTGAACCCATCAAGCAGTACCCAGTGGACCTGCATATTAATCAACAACAAGCAATAAATTAGGTACTGTTGATGAGATGGCATTTTTTGTACAGAGCTGAGACTGCAAACCCTGTAACATGGTATCGTGTCCACTTAGCACAGCATTCATAAATAACATTGAAAAAGGAGAAGAATAGTTAAAACATCATGCAGACTTTATCTTTTGTGTCAGGTTCACAAGTAATCTAAGCAACACTGATATGTATACCAGCTGATGATCTCTTCTGTTAGGTACAAACACTCCAAAACTCCTGCACTGGACTACTCATAACTTAAATGCACAGAGAAATTAAATAGTGACTGTCCTTATAAAACTGAGCCAGGCTTTGTGCCAGTTGACTCACAACTAATGTTGGAAAGATTAAAATAACACATAATTGCACCAGCTCTCTAAATCTGACCAGGGCTCAGAGGATAAATGTCTTACCTCATTACGTTTAAATGCTCTATCTCAATCTGGCTTAGAACAGAGCAGGGACTGTGAACTGCCAATCTGCTGTACTGTTAAGGGAACAGAAATACCACTGCAGATTGGGATGTAGGCCCCAGAAAAGAGCTGTGCTTGGTATTTGGCTTTCCTTTACGGTCCCCTGCTCCTCAGCTCACTTGCTTCCAAGGATCATCACTTCACCCAGTATGACTGTGTGTCAGCACCAGTTGAAATGATCCCTTTTCTCAAGAGACAGCGTTTCTGTGCCTGAAGTGCAATGTTATTTATACTTTAGAGACCACATTCTGGCTGCCCAGCTCATGCTGATGGCTCCACCACCACCACTGAGGAGTACCAGCCAAAACAGCGGCTTGCCTATCTGAACCCTGTTCTCAGAGACAAGTCATGCGCACTTCATTTGACTTTCAAATAGGTGTAAGTCCCAGTCTGTATAAAGAACAGCCAGAGCCAGCTGGAGTCAAATGAGAAAGAGTTTTGCTTCAGCAGGAAGAGAGTTCTTAAGGAGATAGTTTAAAATAGGACAGAAGCCCTGTGAGAAGCCCCAGACTAAAAGTGGATCAGTCATCTACATCTCTATTGATTCTAAATTACCGATGACGTATCTGGGACATATAACAAAGGAGACCTTTGGGGCAATTGTACAAGCAATATCAGCAAGCATTTAATGTAAGAATTAGCCTAAGACACCTGTGTGCCAAATCTCAATTCTAACCCAGCAATACTGCTCTGCATGGCTTTTCTGACAATTGCTTACCTCTTTTAACTTGTCCAGCTCATTTTGCAGCGTCTGCTTGGATACTTCCACCTCAATGATTTGCTGCCGAAGGACTTCATTTTCATCTTCTGCTTTAACTCGTTTCTCCTCCACACTCTCCAGCTCATGGTGCAGTCTGACAGAAACATCTTTGGCTACCTGGTCAAAAGAGCACAACTGCATGAAGATCATCCATGAGGAGCAACAGCTACAGTATGTCCCCTACAGTAAGAAGCATATCACAGCCTTAAGACAACCAAGAGGTTTTTAATTCAATTATGACACTGTTGATGGAACACTCCAAGCCTTCTAAGTACCAAAATGAATATTCATTTCTAATAAAGGAATCCAGAATGAAAATATATTTGATTACGCATTTCCAGCGCCCTCCACATTATGCTAAGGCAATGGCATGAACAGCAGGAGGAAACAAGCAGACACCAAAGCTGCCCATTAAAGTTCCAGCACATCACACAGATAAAGCCAAAGACAAGGAATTGTGCTGTAAAACTGATGGGCCATCGATCAAAGCAAAGTGTGTGCAGCCGTCACAGCCACATGAACTTGCTGCCCTAGCAGCAATCACAACTAGGCAAGAGTGATATGAAAGCACAGAAATATATGCTAGCTTGGGTTTTCTGAGTCCAGACTAACAAGAATAGATATTTACTCCAAAAACATTTGTAAAGGTGATACATCTTACAACATGAGGAATTATGGAATTACAAGAAATCAGTAATAAAAACACTCAATATCTCTTTCATTGAAATCTAGGTGCAAGATTTCTACTGCGTAATGTATCATTGCTATTGTTATAAGGTTATAATTCGGTTTCCATCATAAAAGAAAAAATTAGATCTGACATTTTAAAAGGTTTGATGACTTGATATGTTACTCTCATTTCCACTGCTGACAACAAATCATTCTGGTTTCAGAAGGTTTTATGTTTTGCATTTATATTAACAATATTCTTAATAATTCTAGTTGCAGGCAGTGCTCTCTACAGAAAATATTTTAAAAAGAGCTAAAAGATAGCAATATCAAGAAAGATGAGTAAAGCTAGATAAACATATGTACACAAAGCTTTACTTTGTCTTGACGGAAGCGTTTCTGAAAGAGATGAAAGATAACTGTTTCAGTATGAATACAATTTTTACAGGTAGTAGTGTTTGTAGGGAAAGAGCATTTTGGTTCTCTCTCTGCCCTGCAAAAATATTATACACTCTGTTCCTGTTACAAGTAACTCACTAGACTAAGAAATGCAACTTAGACTATTTTTTTACAGTTACTTGGCATAAGCAAGAAGTGAAAAGGAAGGAAACAGCATGAACTGGAAAAAGGATATCAGGTTTTGTTTACACAGTATTGCAAAGCTAAGGCTTTCAGTAAATCAAGACCCTTTAAATCTTTTAAATGCAGAAATGTAACTTGACTGTATTTCTTTCATTTTGAATCTCAACACATGTTTTTTTACTCACTGACACACCTTTTTATGGTGATGAGCTGAATATTTGTTCTCCACCACAGCAGAAGGAAATTGGTTGTGACGTTGGAGAACTACTGCTTGTTTCATGTGTCACCCTCACTTCCATTGCAGAGAGCCACATCACCGTCTGCTCTCTTTTGCTGTGAATAAGAATCTCTCAACCCACCTTTAAATCTTGTTCCAGGCTCCTAATGAGCTCTCCATCCACATGGCCTGTTTGTGCAACTTTCAAGCTTTTCTGTTCTGCTTTCCTGAGACGATATTGCAGAATGCGGCAATTCTTGTTTGCCCGGTCCAGCTCTCGCCGGAGCTCCTGCAGCTGGTAAACATCTTCCTCTAAATAGCTGTCACGCATTTCTTCCATTTCAGCCCGAAGTTCATCCAGCTCATCCTGTGAGAAGTCAAAACAGTGCTCCATCATACCTCTAAATCTCACCCATGGGAGCAAAATAGGAAACATGCTTGCTAGGATACCACATTAATGAAATTATACAGATTGCAACACACAGCTCCAGAAGTCACAGGAACAGAAGTTTTAACCCAACATTGAGTAATTATGCTGAACTAAATTAATGAATACTTGTCATATTTCTTTCAACTGCGCTGAGAATTAAAAACAAACTAGATGCTCATGTCTCCTGAAACTGGTAACCTTCATTTTACCATCTCAAGTCAAAATTAAAACTGCACAATACTTTACCACCATTTGAACTGATTCCTTCTTTACTTAGACTGCAGTAAACCTACTTAACCAAGTACCTCAACATGTCTGTGTGGCGTGCCCTTTTAACAACAAACACCTCCTAAAAATGAAATTTTTAGAGAAAAAAAAGTGCCTTACATGAAATAGAAATGCTCCATATGGAAAACATCATCCCATCTGAGCCTAACACTGTACACTGGCTTAATGACATGTAGATTGTGTGCAGGAGAAAGTGGGGCTTTGTTGTGTGCACACAAATCTCAATAACAGTACCACAGGAACAAAACAAAACCTGTGCTCATGGGAATAACCTGCTTGCTCTTTCCTGGGCATCACGAACTGTCCCACTTCCATGTTGTACCATGTGTAGCACTTGCTCTCTAAAGTCAGAAAAAAGATTTATGGCTGAACAGGATAAGTTCTATCATTGCCATTTGATTAATACCTGCATGACTGAAGCTCCAAAGCTAGGACTTATAAAGGTCTTCCAGGCAGAGGGGTACAAAGTATTAAACTACTACATGAGAGAAAAAAAATTACGATTCTACAAACTGAACGAAGTTGAGAGGAAAAAAAATCAAGAAAAATAGGCAGGAGGTGAATATTTGAAATGAACTATTAATTTTTTAATTGATTTCTTTAAAATTGCATTTGATATTATAAAGACCAACTTTTCTGTGGAAAACATTGCTTAAGTAAGATTCCAGGAGAACTTGTACTGGGGCTAGCTACACTGTGATCCCACTTCAGATCTGTAAATCACTCTTGAAATACCATGGATGGCTGGAGATTATTTCGCATTTGAAATTCCAAGGGTGGCCAGAGAATATTTCACACTTGTCTCAGGTGGAGAGGGTACTGCTATGACATCAGTACCCCTGACAACCCCTCCCTGCCCCTGCCTGAACGTTCCTGTCCAGTGCCTGCAAGAACACATCTGCCCACACTCTCCTGGCAGTCCTCTCAACCATTCCCCCTTCCCATGGCATAACCAGACTGACATATTAATCTTGCTTCATTTGAGCTTTGATAATGAATGCAGGGCAGATCTTGGCCCTGAGCACATCCTGACCAAAGGAAGATGGGTAGATGTGCTCTTTAGCCTTGTCAGTTATGTCAGAATTACAGCGTTATTCTCACCAAAATCCCATCCATATAGAAATACTCCAGTATTTATACAACTATGGTTTAATTTCAATTAGTTGAGCCAGCATAAATTTGGGGTATGCACAAGGCTGGTTATTTCCAAAATTACAGCTCTGGGCTCACCAGTGGGGCTTTGCTCCACCAGTACAGCCCACTCAGGACCCTACACCATTCTCCCCAGATGCTCTGAAAGGACAGAGAAGTTTTCTCACAAGCTCACTATGTCACTGTACATTCTCAATATATTCAGATTTCTGCTGCAGGAGCATCCTCTCCCACAGTCTCTCTGGGACAGGCACAGGATCAGGGTATTTGTGTGGATGGATAAACTCAAGGGTTACTCCCCAGTGAGCTGGATCGTGCTCACACCATATACTGCCTGAAAAGGAGTAGTGTAGGCACAGTCATTGAGGTTACCCTTGCAGCAATAACATCCTCAGGAGTTCAAAATACATTAATTAAGCGCAAACAGCTGACTTCAACGAAGCACATGAGCTCTACAGACCAAACCCAGCAGGATTATTTCAAAACAATTTAGGATCCGGGCTCTATCTACTCCTCCTCAAATACTCTGGCCAGTTTACAGCCGACACACTGGTGAAGTTTTGATAAATGATGTATATTTTTAAAAATAAAACCATAGCAATGCATGCTTGAATGGATTGGGAACAAGACCTGCTTTTCTTTTCTATGTACACACTTATCACTATGCTTCACATTTACAGACACTTTCAAGAGGTAAAGTAAAAGTTTACCCAGTGAAGATAAGAGATACAGAAGAAAATGTCAAGGTTTTAGAAACTGATTAGAGAGTAGCAGTAGCTTTTGAACCTAAGAAAAGGAGTACACTTGTGCATTATCAGCTTATTAATGAGATATTTTGGCTAAGATACTCATACCAAAAGTAGAGTCTTTACCAGTCAGAACTAACACAGCCCTATGGAATGACAGGACCAGTTATTTCTTAAGGGTTGTCTGCAGACTCAGGTGTTGAATTTATTACCCCAACTAGATTTAAGTTCAATTAACTTTTTAATGTCGTCTTCAGAATGCTAATGTTAGATTAGTAATTTGGTTGTAAATTAAAATTTTGAAACACAAATCCACAATAAAGAAAAACAACTGCCATCAACAAATTAATGGGATCTGGCTTATAATCTGCTGTTTACATTTAAGAACTAAGGAATGGCTTTCATGTATAAAGTAGCCTGCAATTATAATGTCATTGCTCATCTTCTTATCTTTATCAGGTTTTGTTAGTAGTAAATTTGATTGATTTCTAAAGACAAATAATAAACAATATTTGATTTCAAAGCATTTATTGCAACCAAATTTGGAAAGTGAACCTCACATAATTTTAAACAACCCAATCCCTGAAACACTCATCCCATTGAAACTGAATATTTCCAAGTCCTATCTGTGGGCATGGGAATTCTTCCAGCTGTAAAAGTCACTGTCTCTGTTGAAGACTTCAATCCAGTGTCTTTCCTCACCCTCAAGAAATTCCTCAAAGAGTTGCAAGGATTGGCATGAGCTAAGTTCCAGGAGATACAACTGTCTTCAACCTCCAGGTAAACCAAAGTTTTCTCAATCTCTCTTATCAGCACAACTATGACTTTGCAAGTCAGTGTTGTGGGGTTTTATTTTGGTTTGGTTGTATTTCTGCTTGGGGTTTTTTGGATTTTTTTTTTTTTTTTTTGGTGCTATGGTTGCCTCTGGTTTGGGTTGTAAATACAAAGTTTGTTTTTCTCTAGTGTAATTTTGCAGATAAATTAAAATTTAGAATACAATGAAGGAGGTTGTACTTTAAAATCTCACACAGTTCTCCTCTCTGATATTTTTTAACTGACACAGATTCTTTTCCACAATTAATTTCTTTTCTACTCCCAAAATTTTCACATAGAAATCAAACTGTGTCCTGACTTCTTGTATTTAGAGTTACAGCACCCTTTGGATGAGCTTTAAAACAAGGCAACATGAGGCCACAAAGAGTTTTGACTGTATAAGGAGCAGAAACCTCACTGTGCAGGCTGCATGCAGCATCAGCCCATATTCTGCTGTATTGCTGCAGTGCTTGGGGCTTGAACCTATGTAGTGTGTCCAGCCCAGAGAGGAAAAGAACTAGATTAAATCAGACAGATTAAATCTTTTTGAATAGCAACATGAAGTCCTGTATTTATATAACAAATATATAGAGAGGAACATGTCGCCTCTGGAAAATGTGCCTCAGATTTTGTATGTCAGTCAGCACACAATTATAGATACTGGGATAACCTTTAACTAAACCATGAAAGTTTAACTTTAGCTACAATAAAGACACCATCTTGCTTTCAATACAGACCACAAGGCCAGTGACAAGGGTGTAGATGCTTTCATTTCTTAACAGTTTATTCTCCTTGGCGTACTTGTGATTCTCCTGTGGACACTGAAACAGTGTGGTAACAGATCCTAAGTCAGAATTGTTACAATTGCACCTGGAAAATCATAACAGCTTTAACTCCTCTTCTAAAGTGATCCATGCACAGAAAATGAAGGAAGCAAAGTTAAAGACCCATAGAAGGGGAAATTACAACTGAAACTATGATGGTCCTACTTACTAAACTGACAAACTACTGCTTTGAAGGAAAACATTTCAATCATTTGTAAAATCAAAGGTAAATGCAGTAAAGCCAAAATTCTCAGCATGGTGGTTTGCAAAAAAGGGATGCTCTGGCTGCAAGGCAGATGGAAAAAACAGATAACTTGACTTTATTAAACCCTTGACTTTATTAAAATCTATTGTTCTTACTACTCTTATTATTGTGAGTTAAAATTAAAGCTCTTTCTCTCAGGAGGTATGGAGCTTCATACTGTAGACTTTATTATTGTAAAACTGAAGAAAGAGATTAGAATAAGCACTTAAAAGTAATTAAAGCAAACAGGCAAGAAAGCAGCCATCCCTTTTTGTTCATCTACAAATGGAGAGTTGCTCCATTCCTTAAACAGGGAGGACCTGCTCCAGCACTCCAAAGTGGCAATTGAAATTGGGAGGTAGAGTGCATGCATCAGAAGCTTCACTTTGCTCTGCATTCCTGAAGGGGATGAAAGCCTCCTCTTGATCCCTTTTAATTGAATGGTAATTATGCTATTACTTTCAGTAAGAACAGCACAAGGCAGAGAGTCCTGCAAGAAGGAATATTGTTTAGGAAAAGCTAAACTTCTTTCTTTCCCTATGTCACTCTGGTCACCAGAAAAAAAATGAATGAAAGTGTGTTTTCTAAATGGCAGCTCTTTCCAAATTTGCAGTAGGAATCCAAGTTTCACCAGCTCCTGAGCCTTTCAACTTAAGGCTTTGCTTGGCCCAAATGAGTTCCTAAAGGCCAGCTCTTTGGGGTCTAATAGGAACTACCCACCTGAGAGTCACAGGGTGGCTGTATGGACACAGGGACACATGCAAACAGCCGCTCTATTTGCAGGAGTCCTGAAACTGCAGTGCAAAAGCAACAGAATTAGGATTCCCCATTTGCCTGTCAGTGTACCAAGCCAGTGTGAATGGCTGAGAA